AGAATCCCACCCCCCCCCCCCCCCCCCCCCTCCTCTTGCTAAGAACCAAAAGATTTCCTTTTTTATTAAATATTTCTGAATTCTTAAATGTCATTTCAATGACAAGTTAGACTTTTTGTCCCACGAATTTTATTCTTTACTCAAAAGGTAGAGTTTATGCAAGAGAAAAATTGCTCCTTTTTTTTGTGAGTTTTTGGCAATTTAGCATATATGAGTCGGAGTATTGTCACTTAATTAAAACAATATGAATTATTTGATAATTATCTAATTGAATCAAAATAATAGTCCATTGGCTAGTTGAATTGTTGAATATAATCTTCTTTTCTTAACCTCTTGTGTAAAATATTACATGCACTTTTAAAGCACACAAAAAATACACAAATTTTATACTTGGTGATTATTTATAACATTGACTTCGATATCAATTTCATTAAGCTATAGGTCTATCGCGAAACCAACCTCTCTGTGATGACGCTCTAAAGACGAATAAAATAGACAAGCACCTTACGGCTTAGATCTCAAATTTTCTCATTTTTTTTTCCTTATAAATTTATTTCTTTTTAAAAATAGAGATAATGGTAAAATATATATATATACATAAAATAAAAATCAAGTTTTCTTAAATTTCACAACTCAATTATCACTTATTTATTTTATAAATATTTTTTCTCAATACGTATTTTTTATTTTTTTCAGATTTCACTGATTATGTTATTGTTGTGATAATTTGTAACATGTCAACTCCTTTATATTAGCTCAACGAAACTTCTACAGCATAAAGTATGATTAATTATTAATTAACCTATATTAGACAACTAGTTGTAGCCTTGCAGGACATTAATTTTCTAGCTTCATAATAGTAGTAAGTAATTTAATTTCGTTGCTTAATTAGGTAAAATAAAATTGTTTAACACGTGTATCATTTTCAAAATTTAAACAAACTAGAATAGTAAAACGACAAGAATGTGAAGGACATGACAGTAATTTCGAATCCCAAGGGAAACAAGTGTCGGTTGCTATTTAGTTTATTTTCATGAATTGTTTGAGAAAAAAATGTTATTATTACTATTATTATTATTGGATATGTTGATGTTTAGGATTGAACTTATTTCTTAAGTTTTCTGTTTTATTGCTTATTCCTTCCGTCTCTAATTACTTGTCCATTTTTGAATTGACACACTTATTAAGAAAATAATAATTTACATAACAACTTTACCATTTTACCCCTATTAATTATGAAGTAGATGAATTTAAAACTTGAGAGTTTCAAGAATTTATACATTTTTCAAAGTAATTAATTGAGAGTATAATAGGTAAAAAAAATTGTCCTTCCTTTATTTGTCAAAACGAACAAGTAAAATAGAAAAAGTGAACAAGTAATTATAAATCAAGGGAGTATTTTGTTGATGAGTAATTATTAAAGCATCGTTAATTAAAATAAGGAACAATCTTCACTCACAATTTTTTATTAATCCTTCTAATTTTTCCATTTTAATATTCTCTTCTAAACAAAAGGTAGGACGAGTAAAATATTCAACAACACAATAGTTTAACTTAGTCACGTAGTATTAACTCAACTTATAGTTACTATATCCTCCATTGAACATAATAAATTCAACACTATGAAAAATATATTAAAACTAACTTTATATATAACTCAATTTATCGTTACTATATCCTCCGTTGAACATAATAAATTCAACACTATGAAAAATATATTAAAACTAACTATAGTTAATAATAAAAATAAATTATCTCTTGATTTTTCTAATTTCAAATATCTAGTGTTTGTCTTAAAATATATTTAAGATTGGAAAATTTATTTTATATTTTGCATCAAATTAATATGTATGGAGGAATTAAATCCTCATCAACAAGGCGAATGAAAGTCCATACAAGCAGAGACTCAATCAATTAAGCTACTAATCGAGATAGAGACAAATAAAATATAGTGATATACTTAATTAATAAGATTATTGAACAAAAAACCGGAAAATCCGAAGCATGCACACTGTACGGACAGTGAAAAAAAAAAACGAAACCTTAGTGATACCAAAAGACTGTTTCTCTCTATTTCGTTTTTCCACAGTTGGCAATTTTCTCCTTGGTGTGTCGTACCCTTTTTCTCCCATCTCATTGCATACTGTAAGTCACTAAAACACCATTAATATCTTCTTCTTCTGTACATATATATAATCAACTTTTTATCAGATACTTTGTCTTCTTTTTTTTGTTGGTTTTGATCCTCTGAATATTGTGAAGAAGAAGACCTAAAAGAAAGAGATGGAGCTGTACGGGCCGTCTACAGGGAGTAACGGGTCACAATCCGATCATCAGTCGGAATGGGTTGCGGTGGAGCAAGAAACGGGTCTGGATGGTGCTATTTTAGATTTTTAATAAATTTTGAATTTTGGGTTGTTTTAATTTTTATTTATAAGTTTTCTAGGGTTTTTGATGATTTTTTTTTGTTTTTGGGTAATGTAGGATCAATGCAGAAGTTGGGGTTATTTGGAAGGGAGGTTTACCCAGAAAGGCCTGGTGTTCCTGATTGTTCGTATTATTTGCGAAATGGGTCATGTGGATATGGACCTAATTGCCGGTTTAACCATCCGAGTGATCGTGATCGGCGCTCTGTAAGTTGTTTATCTTGTTTTAGTTGGGTTTTATGTTAAGCTAATTGCGTTTTTACATTGGCTTGACTAATTTGGATTCATGTGGTGGAAAGTATACTATGAGGGGTTTGGTGGTTCATGTTAAGCTAATTTCATTTTTTAGTGGTTCGACTAATTTGGATTCATGTGGTAGAAAGTAAACTATGAGGGTTTGGTGGTTCATGTTGAGCTAATTTCTTTTTATACTGGCCTGACTAATTTGGATTCACGCTATGGAAAGTGCACTACCGAGGGTTTGGTCGTTCAGCTAATTCCTTTTTTACACTGACCTAACTAATTTGGATTCATGCTGTGGAAGGTACAATATGAGGGGTTTGGTGGTTCATGTTAAGCTAATTTCATTTTTTAGTGGTTCGACTAATTTAGATTCATGTGGTATAAAGTACACTATGAGGGTTTGGTGGTTCATGTTGAGCTAATTTCTTTTTATACTGGTCTGACTAATTTGGATTCACGCTATGAAAAGTGCACTACTGAGGGTTTGGTGGTTCATGTTGAGCTAATTCCTTTTTTACACTGGCCCGACTAATTTGGATTCTTGCGGTAGAAAGCACCTATGTTGCTCGGACTCTTTCAAAATGTTGACGGGTGCGTGTCGGATCCTCCAAAAATAGTGTATTTTTGAAGGATCCGACACTGGTGTGGCATCATTTTTGGAGAGTCCGAGCAACTTAGGAAAGCACACTTGAGGGGTTTGGTGGTTCATGTTGAGCTAATTCCTTTTTTACACTGGCCCGACTAATTTGGATTCTTGCGGTAGAAAGCACCTATGTTGCTCGGACTCTTTCAAAATGTTGACGGGTGCGTGTCGGATCCTCCAAAAATAGTGTATTTTTGAAGGATCCGACACTGGTGTGGCATCATTTTTGGAGAGTCCGAGCAACTTAGGAAAGCACACTTGAGGGGTTTGGTGGTTCCTATTAAGGTAATTCCGTTTTACACTGGCCTTGACTAATCTGGATTCACGTGTTAGAAATGTCCACTACTAGGGGTTTGGTGGTTCATGTTAAGCTATTTCCTTCTTACACTAGCTTGACTAATTTGGTTTCACGTGGTAGAAAGCACACTATGAGGGGTTTGGTGGTTCATGTTAAGCTAATTCCCTCCTTTCTTGAATATGTATTTGGTATCTATTTTATCTAGGCGAATGTGGGTCTCTACTTTCGTTGAATTTCTTACTTGGAAGTCATAGTTGAGAATGTGTTCTTTCTGACACATGAGGCGGATCCAAAGCTTTTAAGTTAGTGTATGTGGAGTATAAGGCACCTATTATTCCCATGGGTGGTGTAGAATTGGACTACTTTCATTTACTCATAGGCAGACCTAGAATTTTGAGTTTATGGGTTCTGAATGCTAAAACACGCATCTTATGTAGTTCTTGATAAACTATTTATACATATTAAGTGGAGCTTTAAATACAATACATAGTTTGAGCCAAGTTATTGGTTCTACTGAACCTGTAGGCGAAGCTCAAGCTCTGTCCCTGCATTTACTTTCTCAATCTTCTGAATATGCTATATTTTCTTGAGAGGGAAAAATGTGAATGTCTACATTCCTTATGCGGCTGAGTGATTTTGTTTTCAGGGTGGTAAGATGCAGTTGGAAGGAGTTGAGTTCCCAGAAAGAACGGGAGAGCCGATCTGCCAGGTACTCTGTTTTCAGTGTTGAAGTTTGATCTTGTTAGTTCTTCTAACATTCAAACTTCAAAGTGTTAAGGTTTTCTGTTTTCGTGAATGTGGTATATCATATTTAATAGTTTTGATTTCATTGCTGACTTCACAATGTTCACGTGCAGTACTTTTTAAGAACAGGTACCTGTAAATTTGGTGTATCCTGCAAGTTTCACCACCCTAGGAACTTTGGTGGAACCTTGAGCAATATACCACTAAATACTTATGGATATCCATTACGCACGGTAAATGTCTCATGGTTTTATGTGTGTGCACTTGTGTTAACTTTCTGAGTTAGCCATCTAATTTTCAACAACTACAACAGGGGGAAATTGAATGCACCTATTATTTGAAAACGGGGCATTGCAAATTTGGTATAACATGTAAATTCCATCACCCTCAACCTGCTGGTATGTCAGTGCCAGCACCTGCACGTCCATTTTATCCGACAGTGCAGTCTCTTCCTGCTCCTCCCGAGGAATGTAACAGTGCATTAACTGGTCTTAGAGTAGCAAGGCCTCCGATTTTACCTGGTTCATATGTACCTAGTGCTTATGGTCCAGTGTTGCTTCATCCAGGAGTGGTTACCATTCAGAACTGGAGTCCTTACTCAGTAATATAAAGATTCTCTCTATCAACCTTCCACAATGATGTGTAATCTCTTTTTCTATGCAGTGATTAATTTACTTTTGCAGGGACCAGTAAGTCCTGCACTATCTCCCGGTGTTCATCCCTCTGCTGGGCTGACATCTGTCTATGGGATGTCACCGCTAGCATCTTCTCCACATGCCTTTGCAGGGCCTTACTCGCCATTACCCCCTGCTGGTAGCCCTTCAAGCAAAACACAGAAGGAAAAGAGTTTTCCAGAGAGACCTGGTCAATCCATATGTCAGTACTACGTGAAAACTGGGGACTGTAAATTTGGATCATCTTGTAAGTTTCACCATCCACCTGACTGGATTGCATCAAAGACGAACTGTGCTATCAGCCCCATAGGCCTTCCTTTGCGTCCGGTATGATAATGATTCTTCTTTCTCCAATTTTGTTTGATTTGACATGATGATTTATTATCTAATCTGGGTAAAAACTTGTACACTGTTATTGCTAAGTTTTCATGTCCTGGCGTCATTGTGCTCTTGAGCTGCCACTAGATTTTTGTGTCTGGAATGTTTTGTCTACATTCAGTTCTGACGCTTCATAGTATTGATCTTTATGTTGTGGTTTTCCTTTGAGGATTTTTGTCAATTGCATGCTAATGTGTCATTAATAGTAACATATGCTGGACTTTGAGGTTCATTACTCATGGATCTGACCAGAAGTTGATGATACAAGAAAGAGGGGAGAAATGTACAGGAAGATGATTGTTTTATGATTGCTGTCTTGCTTAAATCTGGTGCTGACTTGTTATAAATTTGTGTTTTACGAACCTGCATTAGCTGTCTCCTTTTCCTTTTCTGATAACCGAGAAATTTTTTAAGGGTCCAATGGAGTATGTTTTGAAACTTGGTGGATAATGGACCTACCTCTCTAGCCATCTCAACTTAAATGCCAGGTTTTTTTCTGCAACATAGTTTGAACATGTGACGTGCACCTAACCCATACATCACACAAAGTTGCATTAGCTGTCTGCTGCCTTCATTTTGATCATTGCTTGTTCAAGATTATATCTTCATTGTTAAAACTCAATAGCATGAATTAGTGTTCGGATTTTTGTATATTTGTTGAATTGCTATAACATTCTCTCCTTATAAATTTCTGATGCAATGGTTTCTTTGAAGAGGAGGATCTCCTAGTCTAGTTCCTTTTAACTGTTTAAAAGTCCCATGTAGTTCTCTAGAGACTTCCTTTAACTTAAGTGAAGTGTTTGTATTACCCCATTACGATATGAGTTAACCAGGGTTCGCCATGAGATTGTCATGTTTATTCATGACCCGTTCTTGTTCTATTGTATGATGTCATACAAAAATGTCTCTATTCAACAGGAAGAAAATCAACGGATGTGTAATATGCTCTGCATCAACCAGGGAATTGTAGGTTTGTTGTGTTGTTGTTGGTTTTACTTGTTAGCAATTGGCAGCACACGTTCTGTGAGTTCAGTTCTTCCCTAGCCTCCCCGGATTTGAACAAAGAAAAAATTGACCTAATAGTTACATCCATTAAGGGAATTCTAAGTTAGTCGATGATGGTTTTTTCTTTTATTGAGTTAAATTTAATGAACTTAACTGTGTGCATTTGGACTTGCATTTACCAAGCTCTTTCTACAATTAGAGAGTGATGAATGTTCACCTCTATTTGGTCTTAAAGAAAATGATGAATCGAAGCATTTTGTTGCCAATGCACAGATGCATGTATGTCGTTACCTCCTGTGATGGTTGCTTCTATAAATATGCTGCTATTAAGACCTACAGGCATGAATGTTTTGTTTATTTGAGCAATTTCTTTTGTGCACAGTAGGTAATAATTGTTAAGTACGGAAGGTAATGATCTCTTTATTCCTTTCTTCATAACATGCTTTTCCTAGTCATTTTTGGAACTATTTATTGAACTGGGAGAGATTTAGCAGCTTGTGTTCTCAACTACCATCATTATAATCACACACATATGGAATTGCTCATGCTCAACTGCAACAGTTGAGTTTTCATGATAACATTTTGCGTATTTCAAGGAGAGGGAGTCGGCTGAATGCTACTGTGTCTTTACCCACGTAAAAAGTACTGTAATGGTTTGTATAGTTTCGTGCTTGTCTGGAAAATGATGCTGTTTGAAAGTATTGCTTCCTGTTACGTCTTTGTGTTTGAGCGTTCCACTGATGTACATTTTTAAAGCACAGGGGGTGCAGCCTTGTTCCTTTTATCTACTGAAAGGATTCTGCAAGTTTGGCAGCGCTTGTAAATTTGATCATCCTATGGGAACAGTACAATATAGTTCATCAGCTTCTTCTCTTCCTGATTTACAAGTTGCACCCTACATGCTGCGATCTTCCTTCACGTTGGCTCCCATGTTGCTGCCAGAGTTGCAGGCTGGATTTGTTACAGGGTCAAAAGTGGACGTCTCTTTATCTAGAGCACCTTCTTCAATGAAAGTACAATTGGTACAGTTAACCTAATACTTCCTTCGTCTGGACTTTCGATCTCCAATATGCAGTTGTCAAGTAAGGGAAGTTCACCATTGAATTTGAAGTAAACTTGGAGCACTATGTATTATTCTCCCCTGCTACTTTGTATGTTATACTATAATGTTTACTCAAAACTCGGGAGTTGAAGTTGTCTTTTGTTATCCCACTGCTTGGCATGAAGATTACATTGATTGAGAAGACGAAAATCTGTCTTGTGAAGTAATAAGACATACTCTTTGAAATTTCTTATCATCACGAGACTGCAAGATTCACATGTTTTTGTTTGCCAGGACCCCACCCCCACCCCCGGATTTTGAAGTCATTATTCCTTTTGAGTTTCACCCTTATTGACTATGACAACATTCGTTATGTTTTGCTCTCTCGTGACCCCTACTTAAATCCAAACAAATAAAAGGCCCCTACTGAAGATAATTTGCCAAAACTATAATTGATTGACTGGCTCTTTTCGAAGTGCCAGTCTGGTACATTATGAAATGAACCCAATGCTGGGACCTTGCAAGTTACGGCCAATATAGAAGAGCCTTGAGCTGAATTCCATCAACATGTGTTAGAAGGGATTAGCTAGTGCCTTTCCTTGAGGTCCCAGTTGACATTTATGGTAGTGTTATATGAAATTTTTCTCTAGAAAGTCATCAACATCCACCCAAAACTCAAGCAAGATCATATCTAACAACTTAGAAAGGCCAACATGAGTGTTGCAGACAAAATGCTAGTCAATCTATTGGATCAAGTTAATAAAAACAGTATCCAACGGTAGAGGAGAATCAACGATAAGATGAGCTAAATTTACTCTTTTTTTTAATCGACGAGCAATTGATGGAATGAGTAATGGGGCTGGGATTATAGCTTAGAGATGAATCCATCAAGTCACCAGGGCTGGAAATGCCACAAAAGTTCCTAACAAAGAAGACTTTGATGGCTTTTAGTACCACATTGCTATGGCCTATGAAGCTCTCGTGCACACTAAACTTCTACGTAAAATAGGATGAAGAAGTCCAATTGAAGCCACTTGGAGTGATAGCTAGGGTCGGATCTACAATATAACATGTAGCCTGTAGGTTCACGTGAACCCAATAGCTCGAGGTTCTTGTAAAAACTCATAAACTTCAAATCTTGGTTTTGCCTTTGGAGATAACCCCCAAAAGAAAGACATTGTGATTCCATTTTGACATTGTTCAACAAGAGGCTTAAGAATATAAAAGTTCAAACTACATGAAGCTATAAAAAACTCACACTTGTTTATATACCTTTAAAGTAGAAGTTTGAGTGAGTATCTTCTTTCAAGGTTACAATCAAAAGACAATGCAAGAAAGAACTTCACTCAACACATCAACATCCATCAAACTCAACACTATATATTCTTTTCTTATTCACACTAGAGTACAACATCAAGACACTGAACGACGCCTTCTCTTCTGAAAAAGTAATCGACTTTCTGAGTTAGCTTTCCCCACTATTGGCTTTAAATCTCTTATTCTGAATAGTGCATTGAGCTTGCTTAGTTTCTTGGTGAATGACTTGAATAACTTGTTAGCAGGATGTGACTTTACTAGTTCCTGTTTCATGGATACGTGATCTTTCTCTAAATCTGTAAGCCTCATTCTCATTCTTGCAACCTCGAGCTTCAGTTCTCTGTTTTCTCTCCTTACTGATGCATAGTTATCTCTTGGAGAGATGCATCCACTTCCTGCTCCACTGCCTGAACGCTGAGGGAACTGATTATTCATCCCAAAGAACTGATTATGCCCTCCGTTCATCGCGTTTCTCAGTCTGATTTGTTCAAAGTATAGCACTTGGACCGCCATTTGCACAGGTAACCGTTCATTTTGAGCTGCGTGACTGCAAGCTTCTTGAGATAGTTTCTGACAGTCAATAGATTTACAGAGTCTATAGCGTTCAGAGTCCTTAATGTTTGGATGAACCTGCCATGAGAATGTTATGCAAGAGGTTAAAACAGTCTATAATGCAAATACATTTGTTAAACTCCTTATATAAAACGGGGAGCTCGATGCAATAAGCTTCCGCTGTGCACGGGGTCTGGGGAAGGGCCGGACCACAAGGGTCTATTGTACGCAGCCTTACCCTACATTTCTGCAAGAGGCTGTTTCCACAGCTCAAGCCTGTGACCTTCTGATCACATGACAACAACTTTACCAGTTACGCCAAGGCTACCCTTATGTTAAACTCCTTATATGATAACAATAATGAACAGGTGAGTGGGAACATGTTGATGAGGTTAAGTAGCTTACCTTGAGGAAAATATCTACAGCTCGATATAATCCATCATAAACTAGACGTGCGTGGTCTGGGAGTAACTCTGCAAGTGCTATATACTTCGATGCTGTTAGGTTCGAATCTAGCGCAACTTCTGCCAGATAGTTGTCCAATAATTTCGACACCTTAACGATTGAGCTATGTTTGGGAGATCCAGGACTATCAAAGTCGTAAACCATTTCACTCTCATCTCTTAGTGGATTGTCCTCTTCATCATCCTCATCCAAATTCAAGAAAAAGGAAAAGATCCTCAATATAGAATCTATGTCATAGAGAGGGCTGTGATTGTTTCCATGTGGATTTGCAGGTATGAGAATGTCTTCAAGAATTGCCTGATCTAGCTGAAGACCGATGCGCCTCTCTAGATCAGATCTGCATGAAGTAGAAGCTGATGCTGCTATTGCAGATTTTAACAAACTTGAAAGAAAAGCCATTGGCACTGTGCTTTTCCTGGATTGTGTTGGTAGTAAGCTAGCTATTGTCTCGACGATGATCCTTTGTCTTTTTTGCAAATCCAAATCCAAGTAACTTCCTTTAACCAACTGAGGATCCTTAATGAAGATCCCCTGAAGAGAATTTTGGGCATAATTTATCAAAATTCTGCTTATAATGTCTTGTTTAAGACCTTTTGTTTTTACTGCAGACAGAACTCTCTGAAAGAAATCAAGATTTAGCACCGCGAGTGATTTTCCCCACCAGTCTGATGGCGTCTCAGAATCAAGGCATTGAACAGGTTTGGGTGGGAAGTTATACTCCAGCTTTGACAAACCAGATGTTAGCTGTTCTTTACAGGCATTGCTTGCAATTGCATTAATTAAACGACTAACAAGATTGACTTCTTCAGAAACCGGTAGTAATGTTTCACAGCGATGAAGAACAGATATCGAGTTGGATATGTGTGGGAATACAATATCCTTAAGGAATACCTCTGTACGAGTTTCCAGGTTTTTCTCGGAGATGTCTTCTGTCATTTCCATGAACTTGGCTGCACATCTTAGTAACGCCACGTTTGATATGGTTATCTCAACGTTCACTCCATAGCAGAACTTTGCAGCAAGTTCAAATGCATCAGATCCACCAGGAAGACCAGTTAGATTGAGTCTTGAAATCTTTGTATCCTTCGCGTCCAGCAGCAGCTTTCTAATTCTTCCACTTCGAGATACCAGAGGAAACTGCAAACAATGTCAAGTTACCAATCACATTAGAAATGTCTCCAAGGTACTGCATCTGCCTATTTACTTTTCATTTTCCTCCCAATTTTGACACCATAAAATAAATTGATTCCATATGGACACGACTGTATTGATATCGGTTGTTTACTCATAACAGCTAACTTAGAAATCATTTTCAAGCTACTTTAGACTAGCCATTTCTTTGCATAACTTCTGCTTTTCATTTTCAAATTACACGAGAAGAAGAAAGAATGAATACTTCAATTTTTGTACCTTGTGAAGAGCAAAACTGGCTGATCCGACTTCTATAGTAAGATCACTAGAAACATCAGATATTGGCCTGCAATATCAGATATCATCATTGATCAAAAGTTGGAAACTAGGGAAGCATCAAGAAAAGCGATAAAATAAACTTCTCTGTTTATATTTTTAGCCTAAGGTTTTACACACGCGCAACTTACATTTCAAGAATACAATGCTGGATGTATCGAGTCTTAAAGCTATCTAAACTCAAGCATGTATCAGCCTGATCTTGCGCTTGTATGTATGATCATAGTTTAGGACCAAAAGTAGCATAAAACACAATCTTTGATGGATACAAATGTTAAAAACAAAGTTTACAGTACTGTGTGTTCTGTTTTTGGATCCAATTTAGCAAGTGATAAACATCTTCTGGTGTTTTTCGAATTTGTTGCTGGTTGTGATTTATCTTGTGATATGGAGTAATCCAACAGCTAATTTCAGGACTCATCTGTACTATAGCTAACAGCTAATTTCAGGACTCATCTGTACTATAGCTAGAGGGCCCTCATAAAATACACTTGTTGGAAACTAGGAAAATAATTATTGTTATATACACACAATCATTCACACCAATGAGCCGAGCATCTATCATAAACAGTCTCTCTGAGTATGTTGGTGTACACTGTTCACACCAACGACGCGAGGGTCTTATTGGAAACAGTCTCTGTACCTACGTGTTTACTACCCTACTCAGACCCCACTTGTTGTACACCGTTCACACCACATCTTGAAACAAGAAAATTGAACACAATGGACTTAAAAACTTAAAAAAAGTCAGATATTTGATTTTGTCATTTTCAATGATTGCAGCCTTAGAAATTGTTCATCTATAGTCATTTTCCAGATCATCTGATATTCAACTTAATGATATGATAGAAACTCTACAATCTTAGATTTTAAGGTAAGTTCCATCACAATCAATTTCAAATAAACTAATTAAAAGTATTTTCCATTTTCACTATAGTCAACACTTGAACATGGTCTTGTCATAAATACATTTAATTATTTTAGATATTTTGGTGGTTGTAATATTCTCTTGTACTACTAAACTTCTTCCTCACAATATCTCACAAGAATTCATGCTATCATCACCAATAATTCACCGAACCACGATTTTTACTAAAGAAATTCAAAATATAAAAAAATAAACACAGAAAAACATAATTTCGACCTTATATTATACAACATAATATTCCAACGAAAGAGGTTCAGATGAATCCCCTTACGTCCCCTATCTCCGACTTATGTCAATGTGTTAGGTGTTCTATGAAGAATTAATTGATACCCAAAAACTAACAATCAACATGTCACACACTAGATTAAACTACATTGACATCGTAATAATTATTCTTTACACTGTCAGTGTATATAATTCGAGTATTATAAAAGAGAGAATTGTATATATATTACCATTCAGTAATATGTCTTGCACTAGAACTTGGACGAAAAGATCTCTTCCCAGATATGCTTGGTTTGAGTTCAGCAACAGTGACAACTCCCATCTTCTTAATTTTCCAAAATTAACTTCACAAAACCATTAATCAGTCTCTAAACAAAATCACTATGCTTTTAATAGCAACTTGTAATTGATTTAAAGGACCTATTAAAGCTAATTATAATGCTAAATTAAGCTAAAACTTTATTTGCTGGCATGTTGTGTCACTGTGAAGGGAGAGTAGAAAGGCAGAAAGGTGGAGTTAAAAGAAAAAAGTCACATGAAACCATGCAGGAGGGAAGAGTTAAAAAGAAAAAAAAAACATTGAGTTTAAGTTATATAAATATATAAAAGTTTTTGTACTATGACTTTAACCTTTTATAGCAGTAAAGAGCGGATTCAGAGTTTTGAGTTTATTGCGTTATGAATTCTAGAAAAGGCATCTTATAGTTATTTACTGTGTTCTTGAATAAATTATTTGTATATCAGTCAATAGTTTTCTTAACATCAAACATAATTTTAACTAAAGCTATTGAATTTTTGTTGAATTCGTTATTAAAATTCTAGCTCCACTTCTAATAATAGGCAATGGCGAATGGAGCAATATAATCTACAAATTAAATTCAACCCCATATTTTCGATACGAAAAATAGATATGTGTGAAAAGTTACTCATGTTTTAAATTTTTAATGTATAATTGAAAGGGTAACAAATTTGATTGAAGAATCAAAGATTGAAACCATCAAAGTTAAATCTTGAATTCGATCTCAATAGTAGCTAGGTAGTACTTTATTTCTCAATTATTATATCTGTCTTGTTCTGAAAAAATATATTTATTATAATAGTTATAGATCAATTTAAACTATTATAGTGTAAAAATTTATAAAAAAGTTAGTGCACAACATTTAAACTCTAAATAACATAAAAGAGTTGAAAATAGTGATTTGATTTTTTAAATATTTTTTTGCTGTAAAAAGTCGAGGATTTGTTGCTACTTTTCGGTGAAAGGTGGGAATTAATTATTATAAATTTTTCACTAGTAGATGTTTTTTTGTTTTCTTGGAGATGGCGGGATTCTCGAATTTTTGCAATGCTTTTAGGGTTTGTAATCATGCCTAGTGAAACCTATTAGTCTTTTTAAACACCAAATTTAATTAATCATGTCTAAAGTCATTAAAGTTGATTAAAAAAGCAAACATTAGTTGGATTAATTTGTCTTTTTTTATGTTCACAACCACAGTAAGCTGGGGTAATTATGTAGTTGTAGGTTTTTTTTTTTTTATATATAATTACGGTGTTTGAGTCAGCTTTCGTACTCTTTCCACCAAGGTTAGGACAGATGGAAAGAATCACCTAATGTTTTTGTCTTTGCTTAATTTTATACTTGAGATCTCAGGATTCTCAACTATTTCATTGATCACTAGGCTACATCCTTTGGTGCGTGTAGTTGTAGTTCTTTTTATTTCTTTATTAGAATTCTATTACAAGAAATGAGATTTGAGTTTCGTATCAATTTAATAAGAATTGATATGAGATTTATATAGTCTCAACTTCTTCTTTGTCAATAACTAGCTCTTGGGGTATAATTTTTCCTAAATTGTATTAAAAGTATCAGAGTGCCCGTTGCCATATGTGCTCATCGAGTTGTCATTCTATAAATGATGACATCGATATTGCATTTTTGACACGAAGCTGAAAACGATGTCGTGAACGATGGGAGGTCACAGAGAATTGACCAGAGAATTGACCTTACACATAGTCATTAAAGATAGTATGAGATTTGAGTCTCCACATCAAAGAGCTAATATAAGGCTTATAGAGCCTTAATAACTAGCTTTTGAGGCGTGATTCTCCCAATGTTATATCATCTTCCCTACCAAAAATGAATTGCGAGTTTACAACATAAATATTGATATATATGAATTTTAAACAATTGTAATAATCATCCTTTTTGGGATATGAATAAAATAATATTTAATTATCACCAATAAATAACAATTGGACAAAAAAAAGTTTTTTTTATTCCTAGCTGGCTACTGGGCCATTGGATCCGTGCACGCCTTCAAAAATAGTGAAGCAAGAATTATTCTCCTTAGTTAATAATTGCATTAGGGATTTACTTTTTTAAAAAAAAAATAAAAAAAATCATTTTAGTTGAATCAAGCATTTTTCATGTGAATTTTAAAATTTGTAAATTCTAGTAATTATTATTATATTAAGAACCCTGGTCCAGGTTCATACAGGAAATTAGATATTTTAATCTGTACGTTCCACAATTCATCATTATATTCTATTTGAGATTAAAGGGTAATATTTAGTGGAAATGCATTGTTGGGATCAATCATGGCATGGCCCATTTGTGTGTTGCTCCTAAATTAAAATGCTATGGGAGCAATGATATATGATGACCCCATCAAAACCAAAAATTCTGCGGCGGAGAAATTACTTATCTCGAGATTATTATTTTAAAATTAATTTATCCCATTTCTTATATGAGGCAAAATAACACCAAGTTTAAGTTATAAATTTATATATGGATTAGTTATACTTTCAACCAAATTAAGTATATATTTAAATTTAAACTTTATCCTGAAATATCTATCAAAATTATGTACTTACAATAAATGAAATATGTGTGTATAATAAGATCATGACTTAAAAGATAGATATATAACCGTATATTCTTAATTATACTGATCGATAATATACAGAAAATGATAATTATCTATTGTAACAAGTCAATAAATTAAAGATATTTGTTATTACTGTTAATTATGTATACTAATTTTTTCTATAACATTCTTGTTTGTTTATGATTGTTATAGTGAAACATTTTTAAGAAGAACATATAATATAATATAATATAATATAATATGAAAGATCAACTGTTCCACGAAAACTATCGCTATAATAAAATATTTTTATATGATAGTTCTTACGAAAAGATCTAACGAGCGTAGAATTACTTAATTAGAAATGGAGTTTGTTAGTGCTGTCAAAGGCTGTAGTTAACAAGTTGGGATCATATGATCAGATTAGCAAATTAAATTATTAATCTTGGTTTTAGGGAATTGTAAAGTATATATCCCTTTTTTTTTTTACTATAAAAATAAAAATGAATTTAAGGTTGTCCAGGACCACATTGTAGGCTTTCTTCAAACAAGGAAGCAAATCAAGATTATATTATTCCTCAAGTTTCATTGGAAATAAATAATAATAATAACAATAATAATGTTGTAGCAGCTTTTATGAATCATTATATATATATATATATATATATATACACACTCTGTAATCTTATGAGATTAAAGTGGATGCACTACATTATAACAATGTCCATATACACATGAGTAATAATCTCTTCAAATCTTTGTTTTTTACTATATTTTGATGGAGTGTTGATCAAGTGAGATGTTCAATAGAAATAAAATAATATTTTTTTATTTCATATTAATTATTTATCGCCTTTTTTATTTATTATTTCTTAAAGGACGGATAAAGAAAAAAAAGAGTACTCCCTTCCGTCCATATTTATTACTTGTCATTGTTATTTTTTAGAAGACCTAAGATAGAAATTCTTTTTCCATTTGTATATATCCTTACTTTAATTAATGTTGAGAGATAATAATTTAGTAAAATAAATAGTACTACTAATTTGAAAATCAAAAAAATAATTATGAGTAATTTAGTTAAATTATCATTTTGTTAATATTTTCTTAAAGAACATATAAAGTGCAAACATGACAAATAAAATAAACATGAGGGAGTACTAGTTATATATTTCTTAAAAAATGTACAAAAATAATAAAAAGGTAGGTAATATCGATTGGAGGGAATATTAATATTTCACAAATATATAACTATTTAGAAAGGGGAAAAAATGATTGACCCTAACTAGTTTGTTCTTGTTTAATTTGTGAGGGGTTGTTGAAGGATCAAAGAATGAAGAGCATGCAAGAGCAGCCAAAAGGGATATTGTTATCGAATAATGTTTAATTATTAGGTCCACAACAATTTTGTATAATTGGAACAACAAGCTTCTAGGATGAATGGCTACAATTATGGCGTACACAAAACATGCAACCCCACACAAGACATATTCAAAGAAGAAAACAAAACAAAACAAAGGAGATCCAACCAATTACATTAACCAAA